TAATATCTATTTTTTAAAAAGAAAGAGTATGCTATCCACACATCTTTTGATAATTTCTGTCCGTGGATATTTTTTAATTCATCCGATCCCACTGCTAAAAATTAACAAGGTGTGTGAGAAGTAAAATGGGATGTGTGGATATCACATCCCAAAAACAACACTAATGAAAAGGATTTGAAAACTTTGAGTTTTAACTTTTGAACGCATTTGTTTATTAATACTTGATTTGAATAGTGAAATTTATATATTTAGTAACATGTAGTGATTCTATAATACTAGATTCACATAATTTAGGCCTAATTTTACGTAAGTATCAATTATTTGTTAATTAAACTCACATTAAGAATATGAAAGAAACTTACCCAACCCAATCCGCTTAAAAATAGGTTTGGGTAGGATGGTTTGCTTATTTTCTTGAGTGGCAATTAGTTTGAACAATTCAAACCCAAGCTTATTGAATTCACCAACGCTGCTTTGAAGTCTAACCTGACCAACTCATACAATTCCCACACCCAACCTCTATAATAACTTCACAAGTTTCATACACTCCTCAAGTTTTAAAATGTTATTATTAAATATTTGAATGTCAAATTAATATTTGAATGTTATTATTTCTCTTTTTCTTCCTAATTTTTAATGTATTAATTTTATTTTATTATAATTTTTATTTTCATTTCATTTATCCTAATATATTTTATTGTAAATATTTAGATAAATTAATTTTGTTATACAATATATTTCGATGTACTTTGTCTTATTCATTTAGGTACATTAAATTCATTGTAATACTTTTCGGTGCATACATTCAGGTACACACATTTCAGTACATATATTTCGATAAAAACATTTAGATACATTAATTCAATATAATACATTTTGGTACTAACATTTCGGTGCATACATTTTGGTACACACATTTAGGTACATTAATTTAATATAATACATTTCGGTGTATATATTTTAGTACATACATTTCGGTACTAACATTTAAATACATTAGTTCAATATAGTGCATTTCGGTAATAACATTTAGGTACATTAATTGAGTCTTTGAAGTTCGAAGAATGTTAAATAAAATTAATAAATTAAAAAACTCTTTTTTGGTCAAAAAATAAATTAGAATTTGTATATTAATAAATTTAAATATTTAATGGAAGACATTAAATAAAATGCACATTAATTATTTTGAATTAAGGATACATGAAGGGATTATAATCAATATGTAATATAACACTAGGTTTACTTTAAATTTAAATCTTCTTGAAAGATTAAAGTTAAAAAAGCCCATAAAAAAAATCGTTGAAAATCCAAAGTTCCAGATCATTCATGGATTGAAAATCGAATGGTTCAAAAATTGCCACGATATATACCAGTTTGTGGCCCTTGGACTGATGCAGCGGTCTCCACAACAACCGAAGCTATCGGCCTACTCGTTGAGTTCACGGGTGCATTGCACGCGCCAAACAAAACAAATATCCAAAGTCCGAACATGGTGAACGTCATTTGGCAATGCTGGACTTCAAATGCTTGGACTCTTGAGTGGGCTTTGCGTGGCCCACCACTTGACCTTGCCAATTTGGACAGGTGAATGAGGGTTTATAGGTTGGAATGCAACTTTAGGGCCCCTTGCCCTTGCCCTTGATGGGTGGAGTTGCTCTTACAACATACATGGAATGAGAGAGGTCTGGTGTAGGGTCAAGTGTCGTCCCTTTCTTTGTGCCCATTTCTTCCTTTGGTAGGCAGCCTTCTCAAGGAAGGTCAAACATGTCTATAAATAGTGGTGATGTGGCTTCTTTCTATCCAACAAATAAATATCTTATTCTTCTAGTTAAAGGGTCTCGAGTAAATTGCTGGTTTTTTTCTTGAACCTTTACTTAGCTTTCAATTTCCCAATTGAACTTTTTAATTATAAAATTAAGGACATAAACTATTTTCTTTGGCCAATTTTAATTTTCATTTATTCCATCGAAATTTATGCTAAATTGAAGCATATGCACAATATGTGAGGGTAGTTTAGTCGCTTCATTCTTTAAAATAATTGAAACCCTATATTTCTACAATGTCAACCTATAGAAATCTGTGTGATTCTGTAGTTTTTTGTGTCTGAAGGTCTAGCAAATTGACACTTTTGTACTCAAGGGAGAGCCACGTAGTGTGCAAGTGATAAGAAATAATGTTAAATTGGATGAAATCTAAGAAAAACTAAAGGGAAATCGGCTAAAAATTAGTTTAAGAAGGAAATCAAAATTTAAATGACAGTTAAGAAGGAAATCAAAAGTTAAATGACAGTTCAAGAGATAAATCGACAGTTTACTCAAGGATCCCTTCATTTAATGGTAATCTACTAAAAGAGCTAACCACTTGAAGGAGGTGGTCATCCAGAAGTGCTGACCAATCACGAGAGGTGGCCACCAGCCTTAACCACTCAAGCCCTTACCATGTTTGCCTATGTATCTTAAACAGAATTATAAATAAATAAAAAAACAAACAAACAAAAGAAGTTACCAATGGCCTTAAGCTAAAAGAACTCGAGTTTAAACTCAAAAAAGACCATTTTATACCTTGAATAATTAATTATGAGAATAAATAGGATAAAAGTTCAATGCATGTGGCCACTTATAAACTATGTAAGTGATATTCTTCTCCACTTTTAAAAGTTTTGGAATCCAGACAATGAGTAGAATACATTCTCGTAGATGACGAGTTCACGTGTGCATTGCACGCGCCAAACAAAACAAATATCTAAACATGGTTGACGTCATTTGGCAATGTTGGACTTCAGATGCTTGGACTCTTGAGTGGGTTTTGCTTGGCCCACCACTTGACCTTGCCAATTTGGACAGGTGAATGATGGTTTATAGGTTGCAATGCAACTTTAGGGCCCTTTGCCCTTGCCCTTGATGGGTGGAGTTGCTCTTACAATATACATGTAATAAGAGAGGTCTGGTGTAGGGTCAAGTGTCGTCCCTTTCTTTGTGCCCATTTCTTCCTTTGGTAGGTAGCCAAGCCTTCTCAAGGAAGGTCAAACATGTGTATAAATAGTGGTGAGGTGGCTTCTTTCTATCCACCAAATAAATATCTCATTCTTCTAGTTAAAGGGTCTCGTCTTCTAGTTAAAGAGTCTCGAGTAAATTGCTGGTTTTTTTCTTTACTTAGCTTTCAATTTCCCAATTGAACTTTTTAATTATAAAATTAAGGACATAAACTATTTTCTTTGGCCAATTTTAATTTTTCATTTATTCCATCCAAATTTATGCTAAATTGAAGCATATGCACAATATGTGAGGGGGTAGTTCAGTCGCTTCATGCTTTAAAATAATTGAAACCCTATATTTCTACATTGTCAACCTATAGAAATCTGTGTGATTCTGTAGTTTTTTGTGTCTGAAGGTCTAGCAAATTGACACTTTTGTACTCAAGGGACAACCACACAGTGTGCAAGTGATAAAAGTTAACATTAAATTTGATGAAATCTAAGAAAAACTAAGGGGAAATCGGCTAAAAATTAGTTTGTCTTTGATTTTTCACTTAAAAATTTAAGAAGGAAATCAGCAGTTAAATGACAATTCAAGAGATAAATCGACAATTTACTCAAGGATCCCTTCATTTAATGGTAATCTATTAAAAGAGCTGACCACTCGAGGGAGGTGGTCATCCAGAAGCGCTGACCACTTGGGAGAGGTGGCCATCAGCCTTAACCACTCGAGCTCTTACCATGTTTGCCTATGTGTCTTAAACAGAATTATAAATAAATAAAAAAAACAAACAAACAAAAAAAGTTACCAAGGGCCTTAAGCTAAAAGAACCGGAGTTTAAACTCAAAAAAGACCATAGGGCCTTAAGCTAAAAGAACTCGAGTTTAAACTCCAAAAAGACCATTTTATACCTTGAATAATTAATTATGAGAATAAATAGGATGAAAGTTTAATGCATGTGGCCACTTATAAATTATGTAAGTGATATTCTTCTTCACTTTTAGAAGTTTTGAAATCCAGACAACGAGTAAAATTCACTCTCGTAGACGACGACGAGTTCAATACTAAATCATTACCACTGACTCAATGTTTGACTTAACCGAAATCCATCACTAGCTAAATTTTTGGATTGTGAAACAACAGTAGAAAGTTTTCAGTTGTCTCTAAAAGTTGAATGATTTCCACTGAAATTTTTTAAACCGACACGCTGTGTCGTCCAAATTTAATACTAGTTTAGGACTTGGATCGTAATTTGGTAGATGTTTAGAGTCCAATTTTCAGCTTTCAATTCTAAGAGAGTGTTTTGGGTCTGGCATATTTCACTTAAAGCTGCATCCCAATTCCCACCGACATCAAGTGACGAATTTCTGGGACCAAAAGGGCGCAGAAAAAGAGGTTCATAGGCACCTGCACCTGCGCCTGATTCTGCTTTTGCTTTCGACAGCTGCAAGTTAAAGTGCTTTTTCCCCAGCTTTCCGAATTTCATCATTTGAATGCGTCCAGTGAAAATCCAAGCCAGGGAACTTATTGTCTCATTGTTCGTCTTTCGCTTCTTCAATCCAAATATCAAATATCCAAAACAAGGACGGAATCCAATCACAAGATAAAATATATTATAGTAGAAAAATAAAACAACTCGACAAAGGTGAACAAAATTACATGGAATTTAAAACGAAATTTGACTTAAAAACTTGGGGATATACATGTAGAAATATACACCCTAATTTTAGAGATACAGCTCCTATTCTCCATCTTCTTCTTAAACTTAAACCTAATTAATAGAAAAGTTAACTAAAACAAATTGAAAATTAAACGCTAAACCAGACCGACTGTATTATCTCTGCACACTAATTATCCAACCCATAAATTAAAAAGGAGAAAAAGCGTTAGATCCAATTGTGATTTCCTCCATCTTCCCTTTGAAAAAATAAGGGGAGGAACGACAGCCACACATCTCGAAAATTAAGCCAAAATCCAAGAATTTACACTGCAATTTGGCGGTCCACTGCTGGACCGGCGACCCAACTACAAATTCAGCCGCAGAAGCTTCAGCAGCTCGCTTGCCGCAGCATCGGTGTTTGTGGCAACGCCCTTCTTGGCGAAAAAGGATGGCAGAGGCAGAGAGCTCGGAGGCGGCGAGGCTATGCACGACGACGATCCGGCGTAGAAACTGGCAGTCCGCTTCGGGTCCGCCTGTTTGCTCAGCTTGGGAACCCGTTTCGGTTCCGGGCCCATCCGGTTCGTGTTTCCGAGATCCGGAGCTTGGGGCTTGGGATTCTGCTTCTGTGGCGGCGGAGCCGGCACTAGGTGCTTGAAATTTTGCTTCCGTAGTGGTGGAACCGGCACCGTTTTGGGGATTTCTTCGCCCCGCTTGAGGATTTTGATCTGACCCATGACAAGGTTTTGGGGGACCGGGAATTTCTGGACCGGGCGAGGAAGGTTATTGGGCCGGTTAGGCCTTCGGTTCTTGCCGTCGGGCTGGGGGCGGCTTGGGCGGCCGAGGCAGCTAGGGTTACGGTTCCGATTGAAATTCGTTACTGACTGGCGTGAGAGTGAGTCCTTGAGGCAATCCTTGGGACTGAGAACTTCAACAGCCATCTGAGACCACAAAAAATTACAGATCTGAATATTCGAGCTTTCTAGAGAGAGAGAGAGAGAGAGCAAAAAATTACAGGTCTGAAAATTCGAGCTTTCTAGAGAGAGAGAGAGAGAGAGAGAGAGAGGGGGAATTTACAAAGATTATCTGTGATGATTGAGGAGAAGGGAGGGTTTGAGTTTTATAGGGGAAGAGACCTAAAACTAAAAGTAAAAGAAGTTCCAGAGGCGGTAGCGTGTGTGACCCACTTGCCACAGTTTGGGTAACTATTCCTATTCCCTTAGTAAAATGGGTTTTCCCTTCCCATAATATAATTAGGTTTTTAGGGAAAATGTTATTTACATCATATATTTTAGTTTAGGGGTAAGGAGTCCTTTAACGATTAGGTTTCCTATAAGCCATTTATCTGAAAAGAGTGGCGTAGATGATAAGTTTTGCGATTAAGGTAGTACGAGTTATGAGCATCTTTCGTTATCACTTATTTATCGTCAATGGGAACCTGACAATTTGTTATTTTATTTCTTAGACCTGAAAATATAATAATGTATTGAAGCAAATTGTCTCAAAGTGTAAAGATTTTTACAGTTTGATTTACTTACATCGGGATCCTAAAAAGGACAGTTGATTGAAACCAATTGGTTCGGAATACAAATGTCTTCAAACCAAAAACAATATGTTGAGTTTGTACATCTTTCATGTCATCACTTTCTTCCTTATGACAATTTTCATTGTTGGATAATCCTTTTCAATGTCCAAAAGGTCATTGCATGTCACGTTTGTATTGGTAAGAAGAATAAGAAAAATGTTAAGGAGACTATTTTAAAGTGATCTTCCATCAATTTTCTATCACTTCATAGTTTAACGTCAATTCTCGTGCTAACATTATAAAACATTGTACCAAAAACATGAGGTGGCTGATAGGAGCATATTTATGCTACTTAACTATGTTGTTTCCTTGCATTTAAATAGTTAACTACTACTTATTATAGTCTTTTAAGCTATTTTCATATGTTTTTAGGTCCTAATGGAAAAAAGAGCAAGAAAGTGCATTTTGGAGCCATTTGGAGCAGTTTTGGGCATGGTTTGGATAACTTAACTATGAAGCAAAGTGGATGGACGAAATTAAAGTCAAGAGAAGCTAGGAAAAGCTACAAATCTGGAGAAAGAAGTTTAAATGCAAAGAAGATAAAGAAAGAGCAAATGAAGGTTACGAATAGGGCTGGGATACCGAACCGAAAACCATGCCCCGAAATAGTTTTGAGATTTCGGGACAAATCGGGAATCCCGAACAGTTTTGGGCTTTTGGGCTATTGGGCTGAAACTTGACATATTGGACCTTTGTCCAAAAAAAGGTGCTTCAACGATGAAGACCCACTTGACTCTATATGTAACAAGCCATATGTACCAAAAAGATGCATCAAGCAGTGCACAAGGAATACACCAGAAATAGAAATATTATATCTTAGGTCCATTACAAAGATTAAGAGCAACCATAAATCAAGATAAATGAACCATTATGGTTTCCACTCACTAAATCAAAGATCAGTGCATGATAATGCTGTATTAGTTCCCCATGCTTGGCTGCAAGTCCCGATTTCACAGAGAGAGTTCAAGGAGGAAATAAACGAATTATAGAAGAATTGAATGATTAAAAACCCCAAATCCAAAACCCTAGAATTCAAATGCCCAAATTAAAAAACGAATTGAAGCCACAAACAGACTTTACCACATCAAGATTACTTGATGAAGACAAGAAGATTACCTTAATGAAGGGACAAGTACAAGGAAGCATATGTGGCTGTATTGATTATCGAATGCAAAGGAAGTTGTCAAATGCCAAAAAAAAAAAAATGGAAGACTGGATGTAGTGTGAAGGTACGAGTGAAGGTCGAGAGAGAGAGAAAGTTAAGGAGTAAAGGTGGGTTTGGGGCCGCGTGCAGAGTTTCAATATTTCAGACTCAGATACTCTGAAAGTGAAGGTAAGGACCGTGAGGTCGCTGAGACTGAGAGAGGGTTTCATTTTGAATCTACGGCTAATATTAATTCTCAACCAATCCAACCGCTTATAATATCTAAAAATATATATATTTTAACTTCGGTTCAGTTTAGGATTAGCGAAAAAATCAGATTGTGAGATTGATTCTCTTATCGAAATTTCGAGATCGATTTGGGATTGGGTATTGAAAATTTTGAGATTTTCGGTTTGGGATTTTTTCGTTATGATTTGAGATTTTTGATATTTTTTTCCACCCCTTGTTACGAGTCTTTTGACGAAGGGACATGTCTAGTTTGTAATTAAACTTAAACCTTGAGGGCCATTATTAAGAGTCACATGACTCACATTACAATCAAAATTCAAGGGAAAATGATAGAATACGCGCGTGCTGGATTAATTGGCCCACGTGTCACTAAAATAATTAGATACATACACGTGGAAGGAAGACATGGACCAACTGCTTCAACCGACTTGCAAATGACGGCTCAACTCCAACTAGTCTGAATCACCATTTTCTGTCTAAGCTGGTGCCCAGCTGGAACCTTGGATGGCATTTAGGTGGGCTGTAGATGAGTAAGTTTAGGGGTGCATCTTTGTCATAAGCCACCTCTCACATAAGGTGGGCCGTAGGTGGGTCCAGGAATAGAATTCACTCTGGATATCTCTGTATTCAGTGTTTGCGGACTGAAAAATCCAAACCATTCTAAAGAGAGAGCAAGAAATTTAGACCTTTTAATTTTTTGGGTTTTAATGAAGTGAGCAAGTGAGATGAGTTAATAAGGTTGTAGGATTGAAACGAGTGGTCTGAATCTCTCGATATGAAGACTCTGAACACAGATATCCATAGTGAATCTTAATCTCACATACATTGATTCTATCAAAGAGTTGTTCAATAGACGTGTGGTAACATTAAAAGTGACAATTTCAAACACAATATGTTAACATTATTTGAAATTTACACTCGTATAAAGATCTGAAATGTAAATCTTACTTTACCCATAATAAGTATTCTCATGTCCAAATATTAGTTAAACTAAGGGGGTTAATTATTAAATTCACAATAACAGGAAAGATTCGAATTTGTGTAGAGCACATTGCTCCTACAAACTTAACTAAACTAATTTTTGTAATATTTTATACTGAAAATGTGACTTTACCCTTCAAACTTAATTTTTTTTTACATAAAACCCACAATAATATATTTTTCTAACAAAAACCCAATGACTAGGCTCCACCTAAGCAAATTACCTAATCGAGATTGTGCGTCATATTTAATATTATTTGGATTCCCCAAATTACCCTCAGTTAAGTCATTGTAGCAGTTTATGTTGATATCAAAATTAAAATGGAAAGCTTTTTTAATTTTCTTGTAACGTGTGTAATGGCTTTGAAATTTTAGTTGACGTAGGAATAAAAATTCAAAACGTTTTGAATTCAACAATAAATTTTCAGATTAATGTACCCTATTGCGATTTAATAAAAACCATGCTTTTGTTTTCTTTAAAACAAAAGTGGTAAAAAATGATGTGTACAGTATGTTTTGTTTTATTTTTCGAACATCAATGTACCTATTTTTTTTGTTTTGAAAAGATTAGTGTACCTACTTAGTACTAATAGTTTTGGTCATTTTGAAAAATAATGCACCTGTTATTAAATTTTTGAATCTGGAAAATATAGGTAAATTATTTTATGTAGGTAAATTAGTATTAGATTTCATACATGTTTATCATGGATCCTGAGCCTCTATTAGGTGGCATATTGTTAATATTTCTCATATAAAATATATTTATCATTTAAATTAGTGAATCTACAAAATATAGGTAAATTAATTTGTATAGGTAAATTAGTATAATATTTCATACATGTTTGTCATGCATCCCGAGCCTCTATTAGTAGGCATATTATTGGTATTTCTCATATAAATATACTTATTAGGCAAACTATTGATGTTTCTCATATAAAATATATTTTATTATTTACATTAGTGAATCTAAATATAGGTAAATTAGCATAATATTTCATACATGTTTATCATGCATTATGAGTGTCTATTAGTAGGCATATTATCGATATTTCTCATATAAATACACTTATTAGGCATACTATTGATATTTCTTAGATAAATATAATTATTATTTAATCAACAAAAAATATAGGTAAATTTGTTGGTATAATATATTAACAGTATAGGAGCTTGTTGCTCATCATAATTAGGGTGAGTTATGATAACCTTTATTGACTTAATTAGGGAGTTGTGGCATAAGTTGTAAATATATTGTAACAATAGGTCACTTTTTTGCTTACATGTCAGTTTGTTTGAAAATTGGGTTTTATTTAGAGATTTACATTTATATGGGTTTTTGTTTATGAAATGTAATTTGTCCGGGCTTATATCTAAAGAACCCTATTTTATATTCGTGTTAATCAATTTGTAAATTGATAAGAAGACGACATGTATGTAGATAAGTTTCCCAAACACAACCTTACAGCACACAAAATATTGACCATTACTATTGAAGGAAAATGATTTCCACTTCCTCAAACTTAGGAGGTGCCAAACATTTGTGATAATTAAATCATATCGTGTTTTCATTGACACGAGATTTGACAATGCTAATTTAACCATTAATCGGACGGAGGATATCAAATCTTGGGTTTAAGGTACAAGGCCGAGGAATATCAATTTCCCCGCCATAGCTTCCACCCCACCCATCAAAAGAACCACCATTCCGAATTCGATCCCCTCTGAAACCACCACCCATCGAGGTTGCAGCGGAGAAGACTAGAGACGACGCCGTTTTGGCTAGTAGTCCCTTCAAATTTTTTGATATTAGTTTTAATATTTGGCAATAGGAATAAAAGAAAGAGCTAAGAGCTCTTTTATTCCACATTTAAAGCGGAAGAGCATTTGGTAAACTTGGCATCCTAATCCAAAACATTCAGGAAAAGCAATAAAGGGAAAGAGCATTTGAATTTTGAATTAAATCAAATTCATCATTTATTTGG